ATCTATTTGTTATATTTGTATATAACAAGAAAGTAATGAAGTTAAAAATTAAATTAATTATATCTTACAGAAATTTATTTATAATTATATATTGTTTATAATTTTGTATTTTAATCTTATCAGTATATGCTTAGATAGACTTATACAATTCTGTATATATCATTCAATTTTGTTATACATATATATTTAAATACATATTATATACATTGTATATTTTATTGTATATTTAAAAAGTTTCAGCTAAAATTATAAAGATATGTTTATATAATATATAATTTAGCCTGTTATATATTAACGTGTAACATATAACATAGATAAATACTTTTTTAAATTATACATGTAAATAATTTTTATTATACATGTAAATTTTCGTTTTTTGCTATTTCAATTGTTTATTATATATATATATATATATATATATATATATCATTAAAAAATTATTATCTAATCTCATCTTTTTTACTCTTTAAAAGAAATAAAAATTAAAAAATTATATTTGGAAATAAATGTGATACTAAAAATAAATTTTATAAATTATTTATTTTGTTATCAATAGTATCTTTTTCAATTAATTTACGTAATTTCCAACACAGTAAGTAATAATTAAAATAACAAAAGGAATAATTATTAATTATGTCATGGCATACGTAATATATATATACAGGAATCTTAGAAAATGGATTGAAACATATTATAATATATTTTGCATGTTTTCGATAAAAAATTAAAAAAGAAAAGAAAACATCTTAAAAATGTTTTATCTATTTTGCATATATATTTTCGCAAATTGAAACTCATTTATTTTACTACGTGTAGCTTTTCAGATTTCAAATTTATAAATGTGTAAATTCCAACATCGTGTTTCAGCACACAAACATTAGATGTTTCGATGTTTGCTCGGCCGCCATCTTGTACGCGTGCACTAGAATAGATGAGATAAATTACGCGCTATCCGAAATATAAAATACGAGCTACGGAGATGCACGTGGACTAAATTAAAGAACGTTACAACGAAATCCCGGGTTGACCATACTCGCGATAAAGACTACTTTGGATGCTGGATGGAGGGCAGGGAGAGAAAGCAAATATTGCCGCACGAGTAATTGCTAAGACAACGACGGTGGGACATCAATCTCCGGAGTCCCTTCTTAAGCGCCATTCTTAGACGTTGCTTAGCTGCCTCTCAAATTCTTTTGATTACAGTGTGTACATATATATGTTTGTGTACATATATAGAGAGCGGTTCATCTTCTTTTATTTGATGGATATTCATCCCGGATTGTGAATATGATGTCACATTCCGCTTCCTTTCTCCCACATTTTCTTTTTTTTAAATATATTTTATCTTAATCTCCAACCTGTACGCCGAATATTGTTTAATAAAATCTTTGATTAATTTTGAATTGTTTTCCTTCAAGAAAAATGTTGAAATTTTCGTATAATTTTTCAATTTCTTCTCTCACCATGACTTTCATTTTGCTCTTATATAAATTTGAATTTTTGCATAAGGAAGATTTATATTTGATTTCGGCGAAAGAAAAAGATATTACAGTTGCTTACTTTGCTCAATACTCAAATCGAAATTTTATTCCTACTTTTAACTTTAATGTAAAAACGTTTATAGATTCCAGAAAATTATGAAAATTTGACTTAATTTATATAAAAATTAAAATCCTACTTTGCGTTTTGAAACAAGTAGCAAACAAACAATTTTATATTTTTCGAAAGAAAAGATTTTCTTCAATAGAATTTTACAATTTTAAATAGAAGCTGTAGATTAAATAATATCAGAAGAAGTGGATTTGACTTGACTTTGTAAAATATATGTTCTAAAAGTTCTAATTAAAATTTAAATATAAAGAAAACACTTTGACTTGAGCCTAAAATGCGTAAAATTTCAAAATTGCTAGTACAATTTTTCATATATTGTATAAAAAAAAAAATACGCTCCTGACAAAGAGAATGTCCTATAACTTGTTCTCTAAATGGTTAGACACGAATGTTTGTGGTGTTGTAATATGTGGATCACGAAAAATAAGACCGGCGACGGAGACTACGAGACGCGCGTTGACGCGGAAATTTAAAATATCCGCAATAAAAGGATGCAGTATACACAGAAGGGCGAAAGCGTCACACCGTATATTCTCGGAAAATATTAGCACGCAAGAAACAAGACAATATTTTCTTGCGTTTTACAGGTCGAAACCACTTGCGCGTTAAACGTGTTAGATACGCGAAGAAGGGACAGAGGAAAGGAAAGTGAATGCAATTTTCTGGGATAAAAAGTAGTGAAGCGACCTATTCTGTTAAATCATAATCGATCCTTGGCAATGCGACACGCGATGCCTCCCGATGCCGATGAGATATGTCGCAAAAGCCGCCAATTGCATAATAGCTTCTCGTCTACCTCGATTCTTCGCCTCATTGATATTCGATCCCTTCAGCTCCGGCCGCCCTCATCTCTTCTTTCATTTCGCTCGTGGCTCGATTTCCGCAAGATTGACTCATCACCGGAAATCGAGCTCATCTGTCGACAATTAGACTCGCTCGTAACGTTCCTTTTCTCTCCTCTTCTCTTTTTCCCTCGTCGAATTTCTATGCGAATCGTCGCGACATTCTGCAACGCGATTTATTATTCATTAAAAAGATCCGACGGTTTTCCTCAAATCGCACCACCAGAAACGCCGCTATGCATATTCGCTGCCGATTCTTTCGCAAAATCCCAAATTCACGCATCCAACTTAGACGTAGACGACGCAGATGGATGGTTTTCTGATACCACAGACATTCGCAATCTCTGCCGCTTTGACATTGCAATTCGGAGAACTGGAAATATTCTCCACAGCGCGCTATACGTAAGATTAATATCGCAAACAGAAGAGCAAAAGAGAGAGAAAGAGAGACGAAGGATCACGCAGTGTAATAAGCAACAATGCATTCTGAGAGAATCACTTTATATGCATATACGTATATATCATTTATCTGTTATATATAATAAATAATCTGTTTTATATATAATAAATATATCATTACCTCGCAATGAACGTACATTAGCATGCGTCACATCAGCCATATATTACAACATTTCCGTCGGTTTCAAGTGACAAAACATTCATAACGAAGTGCGAATATATATTCGAGATAACGTAAGATGTAATATTGGAAATACGATATCCTTCTAGATCGAAATTTTCGACATGAAGGTAACTGGACATTTGTAGAAATAATTCGGATGGTATCATCAATTTGTGTAATAATAACATGAAAACAAACATCGTCGCTTCGACACATCAGCGGGGAAACAGGTAATGCAAGGTATTCAATGTCGCGTGTACTTTGTTTAGTAACACGAGGTTCGTTTGTTCAAACAACTGTGCACATTTGTTTCATATTTCTATTCTCTTTCGTGATAAATATGCAAGCTGTTTCAGGCGTGCGAACGAACACGTAGCATGTGTAAGCATGTTTCCAAGTTCGAAGTCGATCCATATTAATTCACATGTAAATAATCACATATTTATAGAACATTGTTTAATAATATAATAACATAATCATAATAACATAATCATAATAATATAATAACATAATCATAATAATATAATAACATAATCATAATAACATAATCAAGAATAATCTATTTTAGAAATTTATAATAGAAAGAATTTTAATAAAAATCTTAATAAAAGATCTTTTTAAAAATCCGTTGGTATTTTAAGTAAGAAACAAAAGTAAAATGCGGAAAATTCTTTCTTTTCGATCAGAAATGATTCGTTCGAATCTTCGTGAAATAACGCCATGAGTTTCATCTTTCTCCAATTTTGAAATGTGTGTATTTTGAAATATAACAAAGCAAATCTCATTTGGATAAATAGAATCAAATTAGAATAGCTAATGTGGGCGCGTGTTATGCATGAATCCAAGATATTAAATAGCTAACATACATTCCGGAAGTTAATTCAATTATTTAATTTATGTTCAGTTTAATTGAATTTCGCGTTCAGACTAATTGTCCGTGTCACTGATCGTGTCACGGCGCGGCAAAATGATCGATCTATAAAATAAATGGCATGCACAGACCTTGCACAACACTCTTTACTTTCACATGGGGGATCATTATTTCGCAAGCGACGTGAAGATGAGAATTATTAATTGGAAATAGAAGTCGCGCGAAAATCGATGCGGCACAACGTTCCTATCTTCTTACATTCAATGACGATGTTAATCTGACCTATGATCTAAATAGTTACAATAGTTTATTAATAATTAAATAATTGATTAATTAATATACGAGTAAGTTCGGTACATAGTGTGATACAGTATAGATTAAAATGTTTATCGTTGCGATATATGTTTTTTTTATTTATGGTGAGGAAAAATAGAATTCAGAGTAGAGCCTCAATTTTTTTACGAGCATTTAATGTTCAATAGTTCGATATTTCGCCATTATTCGCAAACTTATTTCAGACGAAACAAGAAGAATATAAAATATCGAGAGATTCATTTCTATAACTATCTAATAAACGTAATTATTTCTTCAAGCGTTATACAATTATTCTTTTAGTCTGCTTGAATTAATTTCTATAAAATGTTCAAAGGGATATTATTTATATCATTAAAATTATCTCGTAATGAAATTATTTTACAATGTAAAATTATTGTTTCACGAATGGAACGTCAGCCGTTAGTAGGTGCTGCAATATAATATACGTTTAATTGCTCATTAAAGTTCTTTTAAACTTCTCGCTTTTATAGAACAGAGAGGACAGACTAATTGCGCTAACACGCTTAAAATTCATATTTAACAAGATGTACTTATTTTCGCGAGAGCGATCTGACACTTTGATCGCTCAAGGGGACCAATTTGATCTCTTAAATGCTGTTTAGACACAGCGAAAGTGAAAATTATCGAGGAAACCATTAACGACGTTAACGAGATTAGTCGATCATTTCTCAGCGCGATACGCGGCGTTTATATAATTTGTAGATTCCTGTTCTTTTTCTTTTGTATTTTTTCCCCCCTCTTTTTTTTGTTCTTTTTATACACATCTGATCTACGAGTCGATGGCGGGACGATGGAATGGGAACTTAAGGGTAACTCGAGTCGTTTATCGCTTGCGAATACAGAGCGGGGTGTGATGCCTGGTTCTAACGTCGTTTCCCGAAGCGCAAGAAAACATGATCGACGTCTTGCCTCTTGACACCGCTGTCGTACCGTGGCAAGTTCTCCCGGTATTCTGAAAGCAATTCAAATATACGAGTCGCATAATTATCCCCATCGTAATCAATCCTGAGGACGCGGAACGTGGGTGGCGTATTCAGGCGCCAGCATTCAAAGTGGCACATTGGCCCGAGATTTCGACGCAATAACGTAAATTAATATAGCAGAAAGCAATTGCGGAGAGAGAAGAAATGCGCGAATTTCTTGTATATACGCGCGACAGATATTCGTTATCTCTTTTAAATAATTTAATTGTTCACAGCAGAGTCATCACAAAGATATAATTATTTTCTATTTCTACTGGTCATTCTTCAATTGAATTTGATTATGTTATAAATTTTCGTTATATCTTTAATCTCCTTTAAGCTTCTTTAATATCAAATTCGCGAGCAGATAAATTGTAATACGTTTACGTTACGTAATCTGTGCTGATAAAGTAAACAATTCAATCAATAAAACGATTACCTCTATCGTCGACGAAATCGTTCATCTCCCTGGCATCCCATATTCTGGCGATGGCGACGCAGATTTTACGCAGTCTAGGCGGAAGCTCCTCGAGAAATCCCGTATTGCACTGAGCAGGCAATGCGGCGAGAGCATCACCGGACAAAATTGCCATAGTCGTCACGGACATGAGGATCATCAGCGTCGAGCTCATCATTTTCGGGCTGCAAGAAAGAATATTCATATAATAGGCCGATTGCCTATTATAGCTTCTCACAAATGTAGAAAATAAAAAAAATACAGATAACAAGATCGCAAATGTATTTAGTTGTGATAGCTTAAATTTTGATTAATTATTAAAAAAAGATTGCAAATGTATTTAATTATGGTAACTTAAATTTTGAAATTTTGATTATTGCATGGACAAAAATCTGTTAGATAGATTTTATTTACAAAAATAATTATGTTAGATCTGCAAATTATTCTTTCTACTTGAGCAACAAACGTACTCTCTTTTTAGATTTGTTTATTTTCCATTCTACTGGCGATTTCGTTGTATTTGCTGCGGACAGATCGTTTGCTTTAATAAATTCCTATAAACAAATTTACTCACTAAGATTGTTCTATCTCGCCAGTCACAGAAGATCCTACACAACTTGTTATTGTAACAAAATTTGTTTTCTTGTCGCAATAGCAGCAATATACGAGGATTGTTCGATAAGTCAGATAAATTTTTGCGAGATAGCGCCACAATGAACTGTGTAATATATGACCAGGAAGTAATACTATTCAAATTGCCTCATACCAAGTTTCAGCCAAAAGCGACGCTTAGTTTACCTGTGGCAGACATTGAAAGTAAACATGGCAGCAGTGTCGTAAAAATGGAGAAAGACGAATTCCGTGCAGTGATTAAACATTTTTATTTAAAGAAGTGAACGGCTGCGCAGATTAAAGCCAAATTGGATGAAGTTCACAGGGACTCTGCACCAGCGTTAAAGATCGTTTATTTTTGGCTTAATGAATTCAAAAGAGGCCGAACCTCAACCAAAGATGAAGCGCGCTCCAGTTAAAGTCACTACGTCAGAAATGATTGAAAAAAATCTGTCATCATGGAAGATCGCCGAATGAAGATGCGTAAGATAGCTGAGATTGTAGGCATCTCAGTAGATAGAGTGCATAATATCCTGCAAAGAATTAGAAATGAAAAAGCTTTGTGCACGCGGGGTGCCGCGATTGCTGACCAAAAGTGCTCGATTAAAAACGTATGCGAAAAAATATTTCGCAGCAGTGTTTGTCGATGTTTAAGCGCAATCCACAAGACTTTTGGCGTCGATTCGTGACGTAGACGTGATTTGGATCCATCACTGTACACCCGAGTCAAAACAGCAGTCGAAGCAATGGACAGCGCCTGGTGAATGTGTGCCAAAGAAAGCGAAGACTGTTTTGTCGGCCGAGAAGATAATGGCCATTGTTTTTTGGGATTCCCAAGAAATCATCTTCATTGACTACTTACAGAAGGGTCAAACAGTAGCATATTATTCTACATTTTTGAATCGTTTGTACGAAGAGCTGCAAACGAAACGGCCGAGATTGGCGCGCAAAAAAGTCATCTTTCACCATGACAATGCTCCGGCTCACATCTTCACAGTCGCAATGGCAAAATTGCATGAATTAAGATTCGAATTGCCTCATCTACCCTATTCTCCCGATTTGACCCCTTGTGACTTCTTTCTATTCCCAAATCTCAAGATCTCTAGCTTGGGGAAAAGAAATTTTCGTCCGATGAGGAGGTCATCGCTGCTGTGGATACGTATTTTGAAGGCCTCGAGACTTCCTATTTTTCCGAAGGAATAAAAAAATTGGAACACCGCTGGACTAAGTGTGTAGAGCTCCAAGGAGACTTCGTCGAAAAGTGAAAAAGAATTTTCCTGAAAATAGGTGATTTTATTGCTTTTTTACTTGACTTATCGAACGACCCTCGTATATGCAGACCGAAGATGTGTTTAAACACAAGCACATTAATAAAAATGTTTTTTAATTGAAGCAAGATCTTTAGAATCTAATACATACATATTTCATATTATAAATTATATTTATATAATTTCAAGAATATATTTATTACTAATTATGTGCTGTTTTACACTCTTGAAATGCGGTAGACCAAAATCAAAATTATATCTTCTCCTTAATAAATCAATAATCAAATGGTATCGATTAAAAGAAATTCATATAATAATTTTGCATTAATTAAATTATTTTTCTCCGTGAGACGCGATTTATCGCATGAATTGTCAGCCCATTCTCAATTCCGTCTGATCGCACTGGAACGTGAAAAGAAAGAACGTAAAAAGAAATCTCATGTTTGAAGAAAGTGAGATTGTGAAATGCAATGTCGTTAATGCTTACGCAAATAAAACAGGCATTTAATTACTGTATTGCCGTATTTTCCGCTTCAATTTTGCGTAACATATATAAAAGCAAGTGTCCGCATATATTGACCTGTGGGTCGAGACGTACGATTTCCTCAAATGATAATAGCCTATTGAGAATTAGATGTCACGTACGCGAATCTAACTTGCGTGTCGCGTTGTTCACGCAATCTGAACGGAAGGGAAATATAATAGTACAGTCCTCGACAAGCTATCCGACATATGTCTACATGTGCAAACGGTTACAATGGAACTGATCTTAAATTTCAAATACGATTGTTAATTGAATAAAGCAATATCAATATGATAATATCATAATATCACAACAAAATATATATATGTATGTGTGTT